CACGACCGCGTCGTGTTTGTCGCCCAGCAGATCCAAGATGACGAGAACCACCCGACGACATGTCCCCAACGCCACAGATCACTCTGGTACATTCGTCCTCCTCATTGTCGTCGGACACGTTAGACTCAGCCATGATGGCCAGGGTCGAGATGACATCCATGCAGCCTTCGGGTGTGTGTGTGGTTCGAGTGATGTACATGTACTCACAACTGTACCGAGGGGACGTCCCGTGTACGTTGGGAGAGGAGTCGTCCTATTGGGACTTTGACGCGCAGTCCACGCCTCCACACCTGTTTCCCAACCACGCAAGGCGGACGGCCATGTTATTCCTACCTTCAGCCCGTCAGCGGGTGCGCGAGTTCGTCCAGCAGACTGTCCTCGACATGCTTGCCAACAACGACCGTCCTAGTTGAAGTACGAATGAAACGTTTTATCCGGATATTTACCGGATAATATTACCGGATCTTACTTCGTCCCTTGTAATAGTATTCCATTTTGTTTATTTTGACCTGCTGTTAGTATGCAGGTACAACAAGGTCTTTTTAAATTGGAAATTGTTGGAATACCACGACGTTGTGTCCTTGTGATTGGCTGAACTGACTGTTGAAAGATGTGTCAAAAACGTGGGTGATGGGCGACGACGGTGGCGGAAGCCACTCTGGTCAAGTGGACTCGAAGCTTCGTCGAAGAGCGTACATGCGCAACATGATGAAGATCTACCGCGACGAGTTCAAGCTCGAAATGGCGTACCTTTGCGAGAGAGAGAAGCAGCTGGAGGAAAACTTGCGCGGCATCCTCCACGAACGGCGGCAAGCGTCCATGGGTAGTGTGACAGCGCCGTCGGTGTGGAGCCTTCCTTGGAAGGATATCGCGGCTGCACTGAAAAAAAAAGACGGAAGAGATGCATCTATCGTCGAGAGGGACAGCAAAAGACAACCGAGTACCATCGCATTCTGCGCGACATGGAAGCCTGGGTAGCGCATCACCAGTCCATTCCAGTAAGACCCTCCTTGCTCCACTGGAGTAGTTCTTCACATGTTTGCAGTCATCCTTGAACGCATGCGTATCCACATGGCGAGACATGACGTTGCTGGAGCACCCTCCATCACGGGACCTCGGCAAAGCGTGGATCACGCGGCAAATGTACCACAACTCGAATCGCATGTTCCATCAGTACCAGTTTCCCAGCACGACCTCATCCCACGACTTGTACGACGTCGAAGTCGTGACATGCCCCGACACTGGAGCCCTTGAGTACGTCCATCGCCGACAGTTCGACATCGCCCTTCCGGCGTCGTTCCTGCTGCAAATGTACCGAGATA